TCCTCTCTCCTCCATTTTATTTCCGTGCTATACAAAGACACCTGTCATAGCATTCTGTGTAAATTACTACCTCTCCCAGGACCTGTATCTACAGCCAATCTTCTTTTTACACTTCAAAAAAAAAAAAAAAGAGGAAAAAAAAAAGAAAAGAAAAAAAAAAATCCCCAAACCCGGAAACCAAATGACTACTGTAGACACTCTTAAGTTCCCTGTCAATCGTTTCATTATAGCAGCATCATCTGTTTGAAAATATAAGCAATTCCCTCATCTAATTATAGGGAGGATTTGAGGTTCATTAACATTGCCAAGGCAGAGAATCAGATGTGCAACTGCAGAGCTGTGCTCAGTGGCCTGCATTCTCTGTTTCCTTTTATTTGCTTTTTCAAGGTCTCCAAGACTTTTTCCTGAAACCATAAAAGTAATTCTTTCCTTCAAAATAGACATGTGTGTTTAGAAAAAGGAAATGACTACATTTTGTACTGTTCTATTATTGGGCAAGGTCACTGGAGAAAAATAATTTCACCTAAATCATTTTATCTCTGATTCTGGATTAAAAAAAAAAAAAAAAAGAATAATAGTATGCAAGCAACCATTAGTTTTGAACAACAGATCACAGGAAACCTTGCATTGGTCTCATAATTTTAAATATTGCAAGGTAATGCAGATAAATAGGAAACCTAACATGCCAAGAAAACCTCTTAATTTTCAACACGTTTTGTGGTTGTTTATGGATTAACGTGCTAGCCAAGTGTAAAATGTTGCCTTGTATTTCCTAACTGTGTTTAGAAACTGAGAACACCAAAGTCTTCATGATTGCTTCACTTCCTTAAAGAAATAATAGCAAATTTTTTTTTGTATGAATGTAGGTTAAACAATGACATTTTCTTGGGACATCTGTTTTGAGATCACATTTTGAATAGATATGAACTCATTTCCTACTAAGCAAGTAATTTACTATTGTTGATAGTTGTTTACAAGTTTTATGAGTCAGATTTTAGCAAGTGGCAAAGGTCCTTACAAATCCTTTGAGTATTCCCTAAAGTGTGTGCATAGTGTTTTCATTATATGAAATGTTCGGGAAGCAAAAGTATAGGGACTGTTCTTCACTTCCTACCAAGTTATAGACAGCAAAGCCTAGCTCACAGAAATAGCTTTAAATGTATTTATTTTCAAAGGCTTCTATCTTTTGCTGCTGCAGGTTAATGAAGTATGATAGCAGGGCTGCAAGTACTTAAGCAGCAAGGAAATAATTGAGCTGCTCTACCTATCTGTAACTTTGGAGTATTAGACGGTAAACATACAACCGATCCTAATATCATCCTAAGATGTTAATATGACAAAGAGCAGAACTTCTTCAAGGAAATTTAAAGTTTGACCTTGTCACTCTCTTTCTTTTAATTCTGCAATTAAATAAAGAAACCCCCACACACAGCATAATCTTTTTTTTTTTGTTGTTTGCTGCCATACGGAATTCATTTTTTAAACAAAACCCCAGTAATTTATCTATCCTGCATGTTGTATGTAGAATTGCCACTAAAAAGAACCCAGGACATTTTTCCTTCTTATCTGCAATGTAGCTCATATCAGCCAAGCTGTCACAAGACAGTACTTGATATAAACAAGAGATTGCAAAGACATCTCAGTAATCAATATTAGGATGGCTACAGTATGGAAGCCCCAACCACTGCATATCATTTGTCTCAGCATCTATTTCTATGACCAAATGAAGCATTAATTCAAATCATAAATCTATGGTGATTTAAATCTGGGAATGAGCACCTGCCTGCTTTAATGATTTATTTTGTACATTTCAGTAAGCAGGAGATTTGTCCATATGAACTGACAGGTCACCTTCAGATGCCAGTAGCAGACTGTTTATCACCATGCAGACTAGCATCTCATCTTAGCAAGTAAATATTAAACTAAAAGAATCCAATTGATTGTGGATGGGGGAGAAAGGCGTTGCAGCCATATATTTTACTCAGTGTGCTAATACCTCACCCTGAATCCTCTGTAATTTCTTTTTTTTTTTTCCTTTTTTTTTCTCCCTTCTAAAATGATAATTCTGGTGGGAGGATGCAAGCTCAAGGTTACCATAAAAAACTGAGGGACATAAAATAATTACTTATTAGTATCATTGGCTTCCTTTAACTCCTTTCACTCACTAACCTTTTGGCCATTCCTTCAAAGGACCAAGTTAATAAATAAATACTTAAAAAATTAGTGTACCGCTCTGTATAATTATACTATGTTCACCTACAAAAATTACTTCTATAATTCACATTAAGCACCTGATTAAAACCAAAAAGCAAGACAATCCAGAAGTAAACCTGACAATTCAGCTCAAGAGCCCATATTTTATTTGTCTTCTTCTACATAAGCATTGTAACAGCCTAAGAACATGGTATTATCAATCCATGTGCCCTAATATACCATAATTCCTGTTACATATAGGCTAAGATGTAGCAGTTAAGCATTTAGCCTGGCTGATTAGTTTGTTTGTTCTTTTTCAGTTTGGTTAGGCACATAACAAAATAAAATATAAACCAAAATCAGGTTATTTTCTTTCGTTTTATTCCTTCTTCCTGTCAACATTCAGCAACATAATATTTCAAATTCATGTCTAACAAGCTATAATTTAAAACACTGATGGTATATGGACTCGATAATATTTATTTGAAAAGACATAAATAAACATCTGAAAAAATGCAGGGGAAAAAAGCACACATCTACTACAAAGGTGAAATATGAGTTCTTGTCAAGGTAATACAATATCCTAATTTTCAAAAATGCAACTAATAAATAGAGACTTAACTCCTCATGAACCTAATAATACCCTGGCATTAGCAGTAGTAGGAATCACTTCTCTGATTCCACAGGCATAACCAATGCTGGACACTAGATAGGGCTCACTATAAAAGAAACAAATAAATGCAAACCGTTTTTGACAAAACCTCAGTAGGAAAAGTATAGCTCAAGACTGGATGCACAGGCAAGCACACTGTATTTCCAGAACGATTCCTCATGAAATAGAGAGAACTGGAATGCTATTCAGTCTACTCAGAAGAGCCATTTTTTTTCTGAACAAAATGAACTCAATTCTTCATCCAGTTAAATTGGGAAATTAACTGAAGTTAACAAGTAAGTTAAGGGGCTGAGAGGAAATTTTGACAATGACAATAAGTAATCTTTCTTCTCTAACTTTGCCCTTCTAAAATAACTAGAATGTATTTTCTTAAACAGGGAAAATGATTACGCTGCGTAAGAAGAACAGATTAGTTATCTAAATTATGCCTCAAACAATAATTCCAAAATAGATTTATTTTTTTTATTCAGAGGAAATTCATACATTTCCTCCATCCACTCTCCTCCAAATACTTTATGTAGTTTACATGTTGATTGCCTGTTAACTTTCCATGTGCATGGATGTACAAGCGGTTTGTCACTAGAACTGCCAAGCAGAATTAACAGTTCCATAATCCAATATTTGAACATTTTATCTCACACAATGCATGCATCTAGGTTTGAAATTCAAATCTAAACTAGCTTCTACTTCTAAGACTCTTTATCCTCCTAGTTTGTATTTACACTTTTGACTCTTTCTCATTACTTCACTTTTCTTCCAGTATGTTAGGGGCCACCTGGTCCTTCCACTTCATTTGTACCTATCTCCTCCTCCTAGATTTCAAAGACACCTGCTCTCTACCCACTCTTGTCTCCTCTCCAAGAGGACAATCTTTCCACTAACGTTCTAGTGACTGCACGTGTTGCTATCTGAGTACTAACACAACTAATATAAGACTATTTTCTTCACCATCACAGATGCATTTCTTTAAGCCTTTCTTTAAAAGGAAAAGAAAAAAAATCTCGTTGTGTCCTTATGCAGTGATGCATACATATTGTTGTTATTTAAAATAGCATGTGCCTAGGTGAACCGGTTCTTTGAACTGCAATTCACATTATTTCTAAATAATAGCCTACCAACGCTTACCGAACTGTACAGAAATGCTGTTCACAAACACATATTTATTTATGTAAAAGCTAGTACATAACTCTCTAAGACTCATTTCAAACGTACTTAGGAGATGAAAAACTAAAAAATAAACAAAACTAAACAAAAGAGCCAAAATAAAAACAAAAAAAATCCCTATCTTAAGTCATTTTTTTCCAATATACACCAATCTTGCCTGCAGTCTTCTGAACGTACCTCTTTGTCATTGAATTTCTGTTGCTGAGTTAATACTGTCTCAACATGATAAAAGGAGCCAATACAATGAAATGGCATAACAAAACATTTTACAGCAGACACACACAGATGATTAAAGATTTAATCAACAACAACAAAAAGTTACTCTGCTTTGAAGTACGCTTTAGCAAAACAAATCGTCCAAACAAATGAATAAAGTATACGGAAACAATTCTTTTTTGAGAAAGAACAAGAGTTGCTGATGGCTGCTTAAGAAATGGAAAAACCTGTTAACTACATTTTAGGAATGTGTTTATTAAAATAAAATATGATAGGAACTGCAGAGCATGGCAATAATTTATTGTGTATGTATGTTTTCCTTTTGTCACAGGGCACATGAAAGTATGAAATATTTTGCTTTCAAGCTTGTGTTCTGAATTACCTAAAGTCGATACCCAGCACACTGAGCAGGAGACATTGTTAAATTTTGCTTTGACACCATCATCTGTCACCCCACCTGTACTTTGAAAAATGAACTCTAAGCAATCAAACCACTTTCTCTCATGGAAAATATTAACTCAAGTCTGCAAAAGTAACCTGCAAAGGAAAGAATGTTTTTGTAATAGTAACAACCACACTGAACGCTGGTGTAAAGGTCAGATACAAAATAAAACTAAAGCAGAAAGAAAAGGAAAACAAATATGCAACTTTTCACACCACATCAAGGACTTCAGAAGGAAGTCCAGAAGGATCACCATTTTAATAAAATATCAGAGCATTATGTACATATAATAATGCTGTGTCTGAGACTTACCGACACTTGAATTCAGATCTCCATTTTCAGAGTCTGCTCCATGCTGGTTATTATTTGCATGATAGTTGGACATTGCTTCCAATTTAATTTTTTTCACTTTCATTGCTTCTGCTATGGCGGCATTGGTGGCAGCTGCTGCCGCTGCAGCTGCTGCTGTCAGGCCTGCAAAAAAGCATGAACAAAATTTAATACACATTATTCTATGATTCTTCATTAGTGTAGGGACTAAGACTGCTACTCCTGCTTTATGCTTGCTATGTAATAATGGACGTTGAATACTGCAGAGTACTACTTCTCCTGTTTGATTTGAGGTGTGTAGACTTTTTCAAGTAAAATGTTTCTCATCCTATTTAGATAGTTACTTCTAGATGCCCACTGAAATCTTTACTTGGCATCCAGTAACTGCAGTCGTTACACCACCATAACTAACTGGAGATACAAATGCATGCTTTCTGAAATCCAACCTAGCTTCAAAATAGTGTCTTAAGTGTCTGGCTATGAATAGGTGAACATGTACATATCTGTACTTAGGAGAAAACCCAACCTTTAGTTGTCAAATGTCTGCCATGATAAAGAAAACGGGGGGGGGGGGAACAAACCCAGAACACAGGTCTGTAATTTCTATTTAAGAAGAGTAACAGATTAAAGAACTCAGACATTTGTTTCTCATTTCACACCTAACAGCAAGGAGATATGTAGGCATTCTAGGAAATGCTTTTAGAAGAAAGGTTAGTAATGCTGAACATTATTATTCTTTCCCCAAAACTTCAAGGCATTAAGGCATTTATCAATGAGAAAAGGAATTATTAAACCCATTTAATGCCAATCCCAAATCCATCTTCAGGCAATCCAAGTGCTCTTCCTACCAAACCAAATTTCTGCTATACAGCCATTTACAAGAATGTCCTACAAAAACTAGAAAAGTTCTCTTTACCAAAATGAGTCAGAGAAATGGTCCAGCAATGCCTTCAGAACGCAAAACTAGACACAGTCTTTACTCAACATCATAAGTTTTTGAGGCAGGATAATTTTTCTGCCATCCCTGAACAGTGCTGGTCCACTCAGACCTCTTTGCCCCAGCCTGGGTGGTAGCAGAGAGAAGACAGTGTCAAACCTCACAAGAGCTGCCCACCTCGCATGACTGATCCAGGGGGGCAGAGATGAAAATGAAAGAGTATGAAATGAAAGAAAATACAGAGCAGCCATTAAATCATAAGTTTTACACAATGGTGCAATACCAGCCCTCAGCCCGTGATACCACGTGAGGAGAACAGGCCCACAGTCATTGTGAATCAAGATTCTTGCCCTGACCGTGGAGAAGGCTTGAAAAAACTGTGTGTAATTAGTTTAAAGGTGCCTGCTTGTCTGATTTTCAGCTACTCTGAGAGGTGTGAAGTGTCTTATGGATCTCAAGAGGAATTAACTGCACAACTTACTATTCTAGTGGGCCCAGGCTGCTGCCCAGCATAGGAAGAGTGCAATTTAGCAGGAAAAACCAAATAAGCAAATAATCCCAGGCTGCTGAGGTAAACATTGCTTCCAAGAGCCTCTGGTTGTCTCCTTTGCCCTGTTAAATGGAAAATGAGTTCATCTTGCCATGTTTTTGACTAGCAATAGGGAGAGACAGAAGGCAAAATCCAGTGGGGAGAAGGCTGAAGGTGAACGGACATCAGGAATCTCTGCCAGCCCAGGGAAAACAAAGAGATGGCATATGAGGTGCCTTTGAAAATAGATATAGATATATATAGTGGCTTGACTCCAGGTTGTTTTCCTTTCTTTGCAGATTAGCAAACAGTTCCAGCCTCCCAACCCTCCTCACAGGCTGACTTCTAACACCTCCAAGCACAATGAGAATTAACAAGTATGTGATAATTACATTCTGCATAGGCAGATCAATATTATTTAGAAAACTGCTATTTCAGGTAGAAGAAGACAGAAGCACAGAATCACAGAATCTTCATGGTTGGAAGGCACCTTTGAGATCGAGTCTAACCAAAAAAAAAAAGTCTACCTGGACTTTTTGTAAGATGTACCAAAAGCCAAAAATCAAATCAGAAAGTGGATAAATACATGGGTTTAATTTTATTTTAGCTTCTTCTACTACTACAAATTGTGCATGTTTTGATCTTAAGAAGGTATTGACAATAACATGGATTGCTTCCAATGGTATTTTTACCCTAGAGGAAGGATATGAAGTTATACATTATACAAATTTGGTTACAGTCCCTAAATTAGGCCACAGAAAAAGGCATGGTGCACCTCTGAACTTTGGTTTGCATCCTGTGCTCATTAAACAATACAATAACCTATACTTCCTTTTTTTTATATACATCACTGACAAGCTAAAACTAGCATCTTTAAAGAACAATCCTTTGGAGGGATATTCAAATACGATACAACTAATGAATACACCAGCAGGCCTCCAACTTTTGGCTGTGACTGCACTTCCAGACCAGCAGTTTTTGAGGGCTTCCAAAAATACCATATTCAACAGTCACTGGACATTGGGCTTGTGAGCCGACCTGTAAACATTATGCTTCACTGGGTTAATGACCCGGTCACAGACCGCTAAAATACAAACTCTCTTTTGCTACAAAATTTGCAAAAGAGTATACTTCAGCGCTTCTCTCCAAAGTAGGCCAAAATGCCTCTCTCTAGAGGAAGCCATAACCTTTGGATAGGGACCGGGAAACTGAAACACAGATTGCTTAGTTCTGTTGTATGATTTTCGCAAGATAATGCTTGTGATAATAAACCATAATTTACAAAAGCAGAAATTAAGTTTCCAATTTCATTCCTTCTCTCTTACAACTGCATAAGTGACTGAAATGATTATATTGCTATACAGCAATTAATTTAAACTGTATAAATCTGAAATGTGTGTCTCATATAAGCACCGGTGTAAGGGGCGGGGGGGGGAGGGGAAGGTGAGTAAGGAATAGGCTTCAGAAATATCACTTAATACTATTCTGCACAGCAGTTCCTGCCTACAGCACAGTTTATGCTTTACTGTTACTTTTTTCTATCCCTTAACTATGCCAATACAGCAAAGCAAGTGGTAAGGAAAGTCCTGAGCCAATTACCAGAGCCCCTGCCATTATAATCACTGCGGTACGGTACAAGATAAAACATTCTCTCTAGCACAGGGCCCAACTTATCACACTGCAAAAGCAGCCAAATATACTAAAAACAAAAGAGGTTAATAAACAGCTATGTATATATATGTATATTTTAAAATTCTAAACGTTAAAGCCCAGGTATAGATATATACTTTTGTAAAAACTTGGATATTTTTTTTTTTAATTGATTGCTTGAGAAAGCCTTTTGACCCAAACATTAATTAATATAACTTTACTCTTATAAGTAGCCAAGGAATTTCTGAGGTGCAGACTTTTCTACATTACAGAATTTTTATCTTCAAACATGAGATAACCAGAAGTCACTTATAAAGGCAAGTGAAACGAAAGAAATAAGGATCACATCAAACAGCCACTTAGATATTTTTTTATTCTTTACAAATATTTATTTGAACAGTTAAAGAGTATCCAGGCCAAAATATTCAATGGATTAAAGTCAATGGTAGTTGTCATTAATATTCTGAAATTGATAAGTTGTTTATGTCTGGCATTCTTCCTGCTGATTATGCAGTGAGACAGGCAGCTTTATAAATATCTCATCACTCCATCGTCACACAAATTTCATCGACAGTGCTCATGCACAGCTATTAGCAATATGAATCTAACCATTACAAGAGGAAAGAAAATCGAACATGTGGCATTAATACGCAGTCCTGGTTCCTAACCATCTGATAGGCAGATGGTGTAAAGCGGATTCTCCAGCTGAAATGAAGGGGCACATCATTTAAAACCTTGTTTGCATTCTAACTGATATCAGTGCCATATTGATATACATGATACATCATGGCAGTATTTGAACAATCTAGTTTGTTTCAGTCATAAATGTTTACAGCCTTGTTTTTTATCTTTAGAAGCATGTTCTGAAGAGCGTATTTTTAATTTATGAAACCTATTGTTTACTTCTGTTGAACCAGAAGATTAGCGAAGAGCAGGAATATTAAATTACCACAACCACAGCAGTATAACTAAGATGGATGAATAAAGTATGGTTTTTCAATAAAAGATGTTAGTAAAGGAATTAAAAAATTAGCCTAGACATTTTATGCATTAAATACATTTATTCATTTAAACCTTACAGCTTTTTTCCCATGTGACATACTTAGAACTTTAATGCTTTATAAAGCTATTCATTTAAATCTCTTACTGCGTGCAATTAATCTTGTCCAACAATTTAATTCAAAAAGCAAAACATCAGAAAGTAAAGTTCAATTCAGCCATCACGCCTCTGAAGTAATCTCCGTATTGCTGACAGTTCCTATAGACTCATCAACAAAAGTCTGTTCAAGGTGTCTTGTAGGAGCCATATGAATTTGAATTACAGCTCAATTGAAAGCTCTCCAAGCCTTAGTAGGAACTCAGGAACAAGAAGCAGAACACCAAAAGAAAGCGTGAATGATCCTTTCCTACAAAGACCTTCTCTCTTCTGTCACTAGATCACTTTGGCCTGTTGGGTGTGTTTGTAGCTGTTAATTATGTTAATAAAGTTGCAGCCTGCTGCCGCTGCCAAATATAATCATAAGCTTTCTCCTGCCAAGTTCTAGTCTAATTTACACCCGTGCAACTCTTACTGAAGTCAGAATATCGTGGGTGAGAATGAGACCAGAAGTATGCCCAGTATGTGTGGTCTCTAATGCTGAAAAATGAGTGAATGAAATGGAAAACAATGACAAAAAACATAGCATCTTCAGAAAACAATTCTGTTTTAAAAGCAAAGCGCCCGGGAGAGCTGTCATATATCATGACAGATTTTCAAAATGTGTATGAATTACTGGTGGGCACTAAATCACATCCAGGGTTTCTGCCTTCCAACAAATACTGTTCCCTGCCGTAAGAGAGAGCTCTTAAAACCTGCAGTTTTGACGCCATGAGCAGCTTACGACATACTTTATTTGCAAAAGAAAAAAGAAAAGGGCCCATGAGTGTAACTTTTTCAGCCTCAAATATGAATTGTATGCCTAAACTTGGCTGTGGGACAACTTACAAATCATTGATCTTAATTCACTTTTAACTTCCTTCACATAACTA